AGCTCCGATTTGCCCCTACGCTCCGCAGTGAAGGGTTTAATTTGATTTAAATCGGAAATGACAAATAAAAATCGGAAAAAGCATGGATGCTAATTATCAAAGCCTTTAGGTAATAATAAATTGTATTCCTGGTAGCGAATTGCTGTAAAAACCCATATGTTTATAGGAATCACTGCGAGCATGCTGTTCGTCTGCTATGAGCGAACGCGGGCGAATAGAACACCATGGACGACGGCCAAGAAAGCGCGATGCAAGCTAAAAGACTGCAGCCTCGAGCTTCTGCTGCTCAACAAGAGCACTTGTATTCATTCATGCGCGACCACCCGCAAATTACACGCGCCGCCAGTGATTTTACAGGAGGGGTAACGCGCGAAAGCAAAGAAAAGCTGTGGAGACAGCTCACGGCTGAACTGAACGCCCTCGGACCAGCCACAAAGTCGCCCGCCCGGTGGCGACATTACTGGACGGACAAGGTGTCCTGGGCCAAAAAAAAGGCAGTAGATTTCCGCCAGAGCAGTGGGTGAGTAGTAGTGACCCTTGATCCTTGATGTGTAACCTGTATGTGCCCGTCATTGTTCGGGAACGCTGGCCTTACGGAGCCACAATGATATCTAGAGGGAGCCCTGTGATCTCCTAATTCCCGTCAGTGCAATCTGTGTATACCTGCGAATCAGAAAGAACTCATTTTTCGACGTTCCTGCCCAGCGGTACAGGCGGCGGCTCGGTGCCCGGCGAGGCCGGCGTCGTTCTGGACGTCGTTGGCCACGACGCATCTAACGATTGCGGCTCCGTGAAGCTGCCTGGTCGGCCAGAGGTAAGAACGTAAGCTTCTCTAAAGCTGAAATGATTGTACATAAACAAGAAAAATTGGGACGCGCTAAGTAGACTATTTGTGCATAGGACCTATACAGGTGTATTATATATGGACACCGAGAAATTGAGGCTGGTCGCTTAGCACATTCTACGGATTTTGGGCCAAGTGTCGAGCACACCACATAAGTGTGCTATCTGGCGAGGATATCTACATGAATAAGAGGCTGCATCGGAACATAAGGGGTAAACTTCCATCTAACATGCCGATTTTTCCAATGTGGTTATTTTTTTGTTTCATGGTTTTGAAATGAGCATGGAGCATGCACACTGATCTGCTTGGGATCAGAATGTGACAAGTCTAAAGAACATAAGAGGAATGGAGTGTCTAGAGTTCAGTCCAGTCTGAACAGCAGCAGACGCAGGAGAGTTCTGTCCAGGTGGAACGGTAGCAGGCCCAGCAGGGTTCCGTCCAGAGGGCCTAGTGGATAGCATTTTGTCTTTTCGTCTTCAAGATTGAAAAACAATAAGAAGCTCTCAGTCAATTTTTTCGGACGCTAAGGATATTTTTTGTGAATATTTGCAACCTGGAGGCACAACACAAGCTTCTTTTTGTTCAAAACTAATTACAAAACTATATGCTGCAATCTAGGAGAAACGTTGAGGGAAGTGGAGACAGGAACTGCTCCGTCATTATAAGAATACACCCCGCCTCAGGTCTTGCATTAGAATGGTTGTCATTCCTAAATAAAACTTTGAAAATGATCCACCACATTCACTGTACCTGGCTTTCAATAAATACAAACTTAAAAAAAACATGATTGCTGGGACAATCGCAATTAACTTAAAGACTAAATTAAACTTGACACTGGAACATTGCCAGTTGTTACTCCGAAAATGGATTAGGGGCACCAGCATATAGCGACCAACCCCCGTGTAGCTCGACGGAGCTTGTCGCGTGTTTCTCTTTAGTTTGGACGGAATTTGAGCGGCGGCTAGAGTTCTCTCTCTGCATGGACCTCCAGTGGTGAATGTGATTCTGTCTGGACGGAAGTCTACAAGGTTTGTTAACTTTCCGTCTCGACAGGACCCTAGTGATGACAATTTTTCTGTCTGGAGGGAACCCTAGCCACAGCCTAAAAGAAAAGCAAAACACAGTTTTCTGAATGTTGTTTCATAGTGCAGTGTCGACACCTGTAAATATTGCTGAAGCATACAGCAATAAGTTTCCCCATTTTCCATTTCACCAAAAAGTATTGTTTTGCCTCCGTCTCTAAGTCCCTCTTGCCATTAGACGACGGAGATATTTACCTTCAAAACCCTGCACCACTTTCAGGGTGCACCACCACCACATTCACCCGAGTCGCCACCAAGAGTTTCGGTTGGGGAGATTGCAGGGACAAGCGGTGCATCCAGTAAGTTGCTCAATATACTAAGCAATGCTGTCTGTGTTTCAGTTGATATGTGTCCTTCATAATATGAACAAATATAAACAGGACACCAAGCTGCACCACCAGCTTCCAGGCTTTTGTCACCTGGAAATGAGGGCACGACCGACACATCCGGTAAGTTTCTTACTATAGCAAGCATTGCTATCAGTGTTTCGAATCATATATGTCCTGCCTGTGAGAACAAATTTAAGAATGATCCTAAATTAAGACAAATGCATGGCTTATTACATTACATTCAGACTCGAGGTCTGACAATGCACGCGTCCATAAGATAACTGCATGGAAGAGCAATATGTGGGCCACATTAAGAGTGCTGCCTGAAAATACTGAGGAAATGTGCAATCGAAGTGTGAGATTTCTGAAAAATTAGTGTCTAAGCACATGTTCAGTTAAAAAGAAAAAAATATTGCACAAAATATACATAGCATATGGCAGGCCTTAACGTTCAGAATTGTTGCACCTGCGTCAGCCTTGACTGCCGTGCACGGGTGTGCTTGGAGAAGCAGCCGACACGACGGGTCAGTTCAATCAGTTGGGTGGCCAAGTTACCTTCTGAATAATTTCCACACATTTTAAAAGTAGCACCCTTACATGTACTGTGAAACATGCACATTCTGGGCATATTATGGTATTTATCAGGTGTTTCTAATACTTTTTGAGATAGCACATGGAGCTTGGCAAAGAGTCCTTGCTTGCTGCTTACTGGCTGTGTCTCGTCCACCTCATACTTTGTTTACAATTGCTTTCGCCCTTAGTTCCCAGCCAGTCAACCACCCTTGCACAGTGTCCTGTACGGGCACCACGGCGTCGAAAACGCAAGGGGGGCCATGATGCTGCCGAGGAATATGTTCAAGACCAACGACGCCTGGTGGACCTCGCAGAGGCGAGGGCTGCTGCTTCGGAACGGGTATGGGACCTATTTCCTCAAGCGGCATTTGCCTCGGTGGCTGATGTCATCTGACATGTCTTGGTGCATGTGCATGTACCAATATTTGTTAGTGCATGCCTTTGCTGTCTCCTATCCTTTCAGCAGCACGGTTATGGTACAGAATTGATGGTCTAATGATGAGAAAAATAACAGCTATTACAATTTGGTGTTCCTGGTACAGGCGTGACCAGGGAAAATTACAGATTGACTAGAGAAAGATAGATGCTATATATACGGCAATACCCGGCCCAAAATTTCCTTTCGACAATCACACAGAGGGGGGGGGAGGTACTTAGAGTTATTTCGGAATCATCATAATCAGTGTTTCCGTTGTTTATGTCCCGACAGTAAATTCCAGAAAGCCAAATCATTCGGAAGAATGATCATAAGCAAAGCAAGTATGAAATGTTCAAATTATGGGGTGCTTCCAATTTATAGATTTATCAGGTCATCTGATTAGACTGATGGCTCCGATTGCTGCAAGTTGCATGATACACTGGTATTAAAATAATATACATTCTGATATTCTTTAAATTGCGCATGTCGTTGAACAACATATCAACAAAATGATGTTCGGGCAATTGGAAACAGCAACAGGCCTTACTTGTCTTGGGGACATGTCCAAAATATGTGGAGTACCGAGTGTTGAAACAGGTTGATGGTGACAAACAGGCAACTTTTTGTGAACCGAGTTATCTTATGCACCTCTTATCATTCCAGCACGTGGAATCGCTGCTAACCGAAATGAGGCGACAATGCAGCGCAACGGAACGGCAGGCAGCTGCCATGGAACGGCAGGCTGCAGCGATGGAGCGGCAGGCTGCGGCGATGGAGCAGCAAGCCGCAGCCATGGAACAGCAGGCTGCGGCCATGCAGGTGCCCAGAGCACTCCTGCTGCTTGTGGCCATGTTGGCCACCACATTCCAGCGCGTCGTGCTTGTGCCGAGCAGGCCCCCAACACCGCCGCAGTTGGACTAAGTCACTCCTACCCGTTTTTTTTTTATGAAATGCAACAGAGTTTGTAGTCCTGCATAATTATTTTTAGGACAATGTATACAGTCGCCAATTGATTTTTCGGACTTCGCACTGATTGAAAAACCGTCTGAATAAGATAGTAGTCTGAAAATTCAGCAGATTAAAAAACTGCCTTTATTACGTCTAAGCCGGCTTAAAAAAGCCATAAATAGTAGCTTACTTCGGGTTATGTCAACGCGCCTTGTTTTAGGTTACGCCCGTTTGCGTTCAGCAACTTTTTATTAACTTGAGAATTGCTGCCTTCTTTTCTAGCGTTATGGTCGAGTACTTTCTGCGCTTCTTAGCAAAACATCATAGCAGCGAAGAACAGATGGGCAATGACGTCCAAGCTAGCGTTTTCCAAAAACACGATCCACCGAAACGAGGTCGAGATGAGGCGCAAGTCCACAACTACAATGGCGAATCAACAAAGAAAAATGGTAACAACAATGATGATGATAATGAAAAGCAGCTAGAATAAAAGAAAAAAACCCATACAGCATCACGTAGCAGTAAACTTAGCAGTACTCAATGAGGCCTGCCAAACCAAGAATTAAAAATAGCCGCACGGCGGTGGTGCTTCGTGGTGATCGCCCGCGACGATTTTTTTCCAAAAAATCAAACGTTCGGACTTCAAGCTGTCCGATACATCAGTTGTGAATATGCACTCTTTCTATCGGGTAGGTGACGGTTCCTCCTTTAGGCCAGAAATATCGAACAAGTGTGAGTTATCTGCATCCGAAAAATTGGTGGGCGACTGTATTCCTAATAGTATTCTATGAATCATTGTCAACAAAGATGTTTTACAAGATGTGGTCATTTTATTTCTTTTCTAGCATGTTTCACAAACATTTACGTGGAGAAATCTGGAACATTCTGTGAAATGAACTACTGCCGCTCTTGATTATGTAGGTGGCCGTATGACCTTTTGTAACAAAAGCTGGCGTCCCAACCTACGAGGGACATGGAACATGTAAACAAATTAACCCTCATTTCCATCAATAACAACAAATCATGTAACCTTTTCCCTCGTAACGACAAAAGTTGCGAGGCTGAGCTAATATCCCCCCCACCCCGTCCTTGAAAAGCATTGCGACTAGGAGATACCCAAAGCCTCTGTCTTGAAGAGCTCGTGAAACCAGCTGTGCAAGCTCTGGACTGCAAGGCCCCTGTTCTTGCAGCCATCAAACATTCTTCCCCATAAAGATTAGAACTGAGAGCGAGTTCTGTTTGCCTTAAGCTATGCGTCAGTGTGACCTATTCATTCACAGGCAGGGACCGACAACTATATGCATGTTGTGAAAAAGTTTTTTCACAAGCGCTTTTTCTGAAGTTTTAGATACCTCGTAACCTCTGCAAGCACCGAGGAATCTGTACACCAAGCGAAATCTTGAACAATGCATGTTGGCTGACGAAAACAGGGCGTATAACAAACTACATTTGTCAGTTGAGTTTAACAAGAGCCCATGAGCCTCCTCGGAAGCAACTGTTGAGAGAAGAGTTATAAACTGCCCGGCAATGTGCTCCATCAATGGTTCAACAGATGCGTGGGTAAAGGTGTTGATACCAGCTCCTTTCCCCTCTAGCAAACACTTTGCTAGCCGGGCATCACTGCATAAGGTACCTTCATCCGTACACTTGCAGAAATGCCGCAACAAAAGTCTAATGCAAAAACACATCCTGCTGAGCCGCCCGTACGTGTGAAACTTGCAAAAAAGAACATCAAACACGACATCAGGGTCACTACTTGCCCTCACGGAACACCCATACATGTGAAACTTGCAAAAATGTACATCAGACATGACGTCAGAGTCACTACTTGTTCTCCTGAGGCACCCGTACGTGTGAAACTTAAAAAAAAGAACATCAAACACGACATCAGGGTCACAACTTGCCCTCACGGAACACCCATACATGTGAAACTTGCAAAAATGTACATCAAACATGACGTCAGAGTCACTACTTGTTCTCCTGAGGCACCCGTACGTGTGAAACTTGCAAAAAAGAACATCAAACACGACATCAGGGTCACAACTTGCCCTCACGGAACACCCATACATGTGAAACTTACAAAAATGTACATCAAACATGACGTCAGAGTCACTACTTGTTCTCCTGAGGCACCCGTACGTGTGAAACTTGCAAAAAAGAACATCAAACACGACATCAGGGTCACTACTTGCCCTCACGGAACACCCATACATGTGAAACTTGCAAAAATGTACATCAAACATGACGTCAGAGTCACTACTTGTTCTCCTGAGGCACCCGTACGTGTGAAACTTGCAAAAAAGAACATCAAACATGACGTCGCTCACTACTTCTTCTCACGTGACACCCGTACACGTGAAACTTGTCAAAAGAACACCAAACAAAAAGCTCAAAACACTGCATAGGATCCACATACCTGCGAATCTTGCGAAAAGGACAGTGGAAACACTGTACACAAACACGAAGTCCAAGCAAGCTCCGGCAGTAAACACACCTCACCCACAGGCAAACACACACACACACACGAAGTCCAAGTAGGATCCGGCACAATGCAGACCTCACAATACAGGCACACACACGGAGTCCGAGAAGGCTCTGGCACAACACAGACTTCACTGTACAGGCACACACACGGAGTCCGAGCAAGCTCCGGCAGTAAACACACCTCACTGTACAGGCACACACACGGAGTCCTAGAAGGCTCCGGCACAACACAGACCTCACTATACAGACACACACACGGAGTCCGAGGAGGCTCCGGCACAACATGGACCTCACTGTACAAGCACACACACGGAGTCCTAAAAGGCTCCGGCACAACACAGACCTTACTATACAGACACACACACGGAGTCCGAGGAGGCTCCGGCACAACATGGACCTCACTGTACAAGCACACACACGGAGTCCTAGAAGGCTCCGGCACAACACAGACCTTACTATACAGACACACACACGGAGTCCGAGGAGGCTCCGGCACAACATGGACCTCACTGTACAAGCACACACACGGAGTCCTAGAAGGCTCCGGCAGAACATCCACAGCACTGAGCACGCATTACACTTAGAAAGTATGAGACCATCACTGGTGGCGGCCACGATGGCGGATCCGGTGAAGCCGGCGACGTACACGACGCACATGACTTGTGGTAGCTCCAAGCACAAGCTGGTCCCGCATGGCCTTACCCTCAATGTAGAGGCGCCTCGACTGCAGGATTCTGCGCTCTCGTGCTGCGTCACTGCTCTCGTCTGCCTCGCTGTCATCGTCAGAGCCGCTGCTTGACTCGGATTCCGACGACGATGATCCCGGATCCGATTCCCCTGCGCTGAGGCAGATGTTGTGGAGCACTGCACAGGCTGCCACGATCGTGCCGGCGATCCTTGGATGGTGGTAAAGAACCCGGTGTTTTTGCACGCATCGAAAACGACTCTTCAGCAGCCCAATGCAGCGCTCCACCACCGACCTCATTGAGGCGTGGGCAGCGTTGTAACGCCCGGCAGGTGTGGAGACAGCTGGCCGGCCAGGCACGGGAGTCATGAGCCATGGCTCCAACGGGTACCCACTGTCTCCTGCATGAAAAATAGCAAGTCTAATCTCAGATACGTGAACCACATGCTGTGTTTTATCCAAATTTGATTTATCCCGTCCGACCCTCCATATGCCGTTTCCACAAGCAGGTGGTGTGCATTCAGCGTTAACCTTGTAGTTTCCGAGTAGTGCTGATAACGAGTACTACTTGTTGAAACCACCGCTATATCTTATTTGCATGCCAGAGACGCCGCAGACCTGTCAACCAATATCAGGTGTTTGCCGTCTCAACAGGTTTTTACAGATGACACCGACTATGGTGATGATGACACGCCTTGGAAACGAGTTTTTGGAAAATGCTGTGGAAGCTCTGGGAATGAGGACCGTGAGGCTATCTCCAAGAGTATTTCTCATGTCTGTTACCCGCGAGAGTCTCACCTTGATGAGATTGAAATAAAACGCAATGGTACACTTGGAGCTTCTTTGCAGCTGGAGGCTGGACACGGAGCACCTATCAACCCCACTCCTCTCTTTCCTATTCTCGCAGTGCCTAGTGTAATTCAGTGGTTAACTGACAACACTTCTTGATTTCAACAGTTTCGACCCTAATGCACTAAAGATGAACTGTTAAATTCCTCATCTCTGCTCCAGAGCCTCGAGCAAGGACATGAAAGTAAGCCTTTGCATGATGCCTTGCTTTAGGCCAGTCATCCAAACACTGGTGTATAGTTCTACAGCAATCTGTTCATGTGAAAGTCAAGAAACGTCTGGGTACTCTGCATTTTGTTTTCATGCGAGCTGACAATGTGCTGCCACTTTAGGTACACTCACCGAGTAGGTACTCCCCGTGCCTGATGAGCCTGCCAGCGATGCACTGCTGCCGCACCCAAGACTGCCTCCACACAAGGGCGTCATGTGAGCAGCCAGGCATCGAAGGGTCGACTGCCAGGATTCGCATGTTGGCGTCGCACACCTGCAACAAATAAGAGTGCGATAAGAGAGAGACAAACAGATGATCGCAGCTTGTGTACATCTGTTACGTTCCTTTCATTTTGAAAAAGACAACTTAGCAGTGATCCCGCGCACTGTGAGAAAGAAATAAGCATCTGTCAATAGTATTGTGCAATATGCTTCTACCGGTGCCTTCGGTGCACATCAACAGGTATAAATTATGAATAGAAGCACGTCTCCCAACACTCTTACAATGTCCATAGAGCTGTGCAGCAATTACTACTCGGACCCAGGGGCGTAGCCAGGGGGAGGGCTTATGGGGCTTCAGCCAGCCAGCCAGTGAGCCCAACCAAACCGGCCTCCCCCCCCAAAAAAAAAAAAAAAAAAAATTTAGCCGACCCTAAATATACACATGCATTGTGACCCCCCCATCCCCCTCTCCGCACCCCAAGTCGTGGACATCCCAGTCACCTCAACTCCAGCCCCCTGCCCCCAGCCCCCAGCCCGCCCCCCCCCCCCCCCCCCCCCCCCAAGCCCCCGATTTATAACGATTTCAGATTACAACAAACGTGACCACATGTTACAAACTCGGTAGGAGCCAAAAATGGAAACTTACCACCATGACGTTTAGCGCGTAGTGGAGCTTGCGACACCAATACAACGCCTTGGTGACGGTTCGGTCGAACCGTGACGGACCCTTGATGGCCACAAACGTCCCGTCGACGCACCCAACGACGCCCGGGAGGGTGCCTCGTCGCAGGAAGGCTTCCTGTGTGGCCGCACGTTCTTCCACGGTCTCGGCGAAAGCGACCCACGCGGGGCCCAGGCGGCGAACGATGGCTACGGCCACGGCACGGACGGCTGAGCTCACCGTAGTCTGGTGGACGGAGAGATTTCGGTCGCTCCCCACCAACCCCTGGTAGCTTCCCGTCGCGAAAAACCGCAACGCCACGAGGACTTGCTGTTCAACGGTGACGACGGTCCGTGCACGGCTCCACCGTCTCAAGCCAGGATCGTCACGCAGTTCGTCGCACAGCCACCTTACAACGTCTTTCGAGAGGCGATAGTGTCGTTGAAAATCAACGTCATCCATGTCAAACGCATTGGCGTGGTCTAAGTACCTACGCCGGCGGCGAAACACGAACAAAAACGCTGCCATTTTGGACGCTTCTCCCCGATCTCGCGCCCAACTCGCCCAAGCTCGCCTAGGTCGGAGCCGGCAAGCTTTTCCCATCCGCGGCGGCTTCTGCCACGTCACAATGACGTCACCGCATCTCGCCGCGAGTTCCGAATATGCAACTCTCCGACCGCCTCAAAACCCTCCGTTAACGTCACGATCTAGGGAGTGTCGGCGCGTGTCGTCATGCACGGCGCCGACCAATCGCGGCGGTCGGCGAGTTTGGCGGAGAACTCGCCTCGAGCTCGCCGCGCCGAGGTTAGCCCCCCTGGTCAACTGATCCCGGCGCGCTCCAGAACGCCCATGGAATTCGCCATTAGTCCTGAATGTTACTTGGCGGAGAACGCTCATAAGCTGAAACTGCAGCCAAAGCTACAAGCGCGAGCTAGAGCGCACTCCTGGCTTTGAGACATGCATTTCTAGCGCGAGCGCTCAATCGTTCTGCCGAACAACGCTTCAAAGCAGCGACCTCGAGCTCTCGCAATCATGTCTCGGACCCCCCACAGATTTTAACGGATGGTCTGAGACCCTCCTCCACAGCCCCAGCATTAGTAAAATGAAAATCATATCTTGGAATAAAATAGCTTGTTTTCAGGGATGTGGCATTTGGGGATTAGCAATTTGAGAGTTGCTGGTACAGCGTGGGCAGAGTCAGCAGTGGGGTTTATTTTATGTGCATCTAATACATCTCGTCAGAACCCCCCCCCCCCCTCTCCCACCTCCTTGTAGGGACCCCCCTCAACTTACGGGAGACTTTAAGCACTGCTCGCAATACCAGCTGGAAGACAACGCCTACGCGTTTCCTCCCCTAAACGTCATCATTAGTAGATCCCCTAGCGCCCCCTAGCTAGCCCGGATGAGCACCATCGCCTGGTATACATCGTCCGCGACATCGTCTGTTCCCTCAACTGCTTCAGGGGATGCTAAACCAAACATTTCAGCGTCCATAAGTGGCGCACGATCTCTCCACGAGCCAGCGGCCTCCGGTGCGCGCGCGCACACGCAACGAAATTGACGTCATAGTCCCCCCAAGACAAACAAGTCGTTAGTTGTTTATACAGCAGGAGTTTAGTCTGCCATAGCATGGCGACATTGTTACCCGCTCTAGATAAGCAATTTAGCCATGCAGTGCTGTGCGACTGCTAGCCTTTGGTCTTTAATGTGCATCACGCAGTAGTGGTACATGACCGGACGACGGTACGATGCTCATCCAGGTCGGAACTGGCCGGGTGGGGTTGAGCCCAGGATCCCTGAGTTCTGCATTGCGAGCTTTCGCTCCACATGCTCCGAGCTGGTGTGCGCTAGCCCACTCAGAAATCCCCCATAGTCCCCCATTCACGCTTAAGATGGCAGTGAAATGTTTGGGCTACAGGGAAAAGAAGAATAAATACAAGCATTTTATCTCCTTAGTGGGGTCTATACTGTGGCTCTAGTGGGGTCTCGTGTAAAAGGTAAATCATTAATTCGTCTAACAAGCCCGGAGAATTCACTTGTAGAGATGGAAAGCCTGTCTTTATTCTCTTTTGGCCCAAACCCATACATTTCACTGCCATCTTAAGCGCGAATGGGGGACTACGGCGTCAATTTTGCTGTGTCTGCTCGCGCACACCGGCGGCTGCTGGCGCGCGGAAAGAACCTGCGCGGAGACTAAATTGTTTAGTACAGTATCCCTATCAGTGGTCATGCTCGAAACGAGCTCACATTAATAGGCTGCTAAGACCGGCAATGTTAATGGTGTCGCATGCACGTGGCAAATCGGAACTGTGGAGGCTCGCTATCAGTTCGCGCTCAGCAGTCGGGCACACAGCTGTGGTCGCTGGTCGCCAGTGAATGCGACGCGCAGTGTCACGTAGCCAAATTTGACGTAGCCCATACTCTCGTCATACATGAGCCTGTTTGCCGCTTGGGGCGGGACAGGGACCTAGTAACGATGACGTCATTCACAGGCCTTGTCTTTTAGGTGCTATTGGCTCTCGCCCTCAGATATTCATACCAGGCGAGATTGTTCCGCGTTGACGCCACCAAGCAGCAAGGCTCGCAACTACAGTACCCTTGACCGTGCATGAACTATTGACGTCACAAGCGCGATAAGCATTACGCCTTTCGCTGGCCGACTTTGAAGCGAGGGGTAGAGAGCTCGCGCTCAAGTCATTTCGTTTCCGTACCGCTTTAAACTGAGACTGCAACCAATGTCACAAGCACGAGAGCCCGAGGCCCCTCTTCCGCGGAACAAGCGCTCGCGCTAGAAATGCATTTATCAAAGCCAGGAGCGGGGGCTGCATATTCTTATGGCGCAGGCGATAGACCCCCTAGCAACGTCGGTCACATAGCATTGGCTGCTCATGGAGATAAGCGCTGCCGAAGTCACAAATAGCAACGCGCGGGATCGAACTTCGATTTCGGATTCGGACGGCGCGTGTATCACTGATGCGCGCGTTAACCCAGCCCTCTCCTGAGTTCACGCTTTGCGGCGAAAATCTGCGGCTGCTCATTCCAGAACTATTAACCCACTTGCCGCCAACCCTCCCCCCCGTACACGACGCTTCGCGGCGTCGAGCCGGCAACCCCAGCCGCGCTGTCCCCCATTGCCCCTCCGGAAAGGGAGTCTCACACTATTTAGTTCAGCAAAGTTTCTTCGACAACACTCTTCTGTTTTTCGTTAGTGTTAATCGTAAAAAATAAAAATGTCGTAAATATCGCCACATGCTTCGACGCAAAAAAAAAAAATGTTCGAGAAAAAAAAAAGTAGTACAACACTGTGGATCAAATTAGGGTCCCGCTGCGTAAGAGGGAGACACCTTACCACTAAGCTACGCTACCAATTCGGAAACTCGTTGTAACCGTTGCCTATGTTGACAGCGGCAGCGTCCATCTCCACAAGCCGGCCAATCCGGCGTGAGTGTCGTTGCTAGGGGGTCTGTCGCCTGCATCCTAACAATATGGGCGGGGCATAGCTCGCGATTGTAGCTTTGGCTGCAGTCTCAGCTTCAAGGGCCCCTAACAAGAAAACAAAAATTGTTTTGAACATTCTAGTTGGGACACGCGTGTCAAAAAATGAATTTTACGCGAAAAAAAAAAAAAATTGGAGCAATATTGACGGCGCAAGACGCAATTTAGTCGGTAGTCACCTCCCTTCCCCTGGTTTTCTCTCGGCATTTCGGACGCGTGGAGGAGAGGTGGATCAGCTTGGCCATCACGTTGAGGTAGAGAGAGTGTATGACCCATAGAGTTATTATAATGTACGCTAGAGGTTCAACTGGCGCTAGTGTCTATGCGACTTCCGGGAGGCAAATTGAAGCAGACAGCAACCAGTCTACTTTTGCGGTGCTCCTGTGCATTCCTATGGGAAAACGCGCGTGAATTTTGTCTCTTCGCCGGAAAATAACACGAATAACTTTTCTTATTTCAGTTGTACCGGATAGTATGTACCTTTATTGATATGGTGAATGTGTAATTGCTTTAGTTACAGCATTTTTCTTTACTACTGAACGATGTTAAACTTCGCTATATTTCAGGCCCAAACCTCTGTTCCATGGCAGGTATGTAAAAATGAGCGACAATTCTATACAAAATAACAATCGAAAGGAATGTAGAGTGCGTTCAAGGTTCACTAGCATTCCGGTAGCGCTTATATATTGCTAATATGCAAGTTCTGTCACTCGCTATATGAAAATGACTCCGTCGTGCATCTTGACGATCTGTTAAAAAATAAAGTATGTGGGCTACGAAAGGTGCGTCTTTTCATTATTTCTTATGTCGGGCAGTTTTAATCAGGCACCTGTTCTCTGCTTTTCCCTATTTGCAAAGATTTGGAGCATGCGGCTGATGATTTGAACCCAGAAGAAGCATCTTCGCACGTATTCACGAGCAGAAAGAACAAAGCAGTACTTATTTATTGCATATCTGACTACTAGTATATTACGTGGCTTTCAATTTAATTTTGATCGTCTGCATGCATAAGGAGTTACTTATCCAGTGTTACTGCGTAGTTCTTGCCGTCTCTCTTGGTTTTTCACATGTAATTCGTTCGTTTTGGCACGTATATCCCCCATGCCATGCTGGAAAGCGCCGACGCCGTGTTCGCGCTAACAGTGTCCGACAGTGTACATAAATGCATGTACGAAGCGGTTTTAACACCGTTTTTCATGCCACGAATTTCAAATAAAAATGCTGTAACTGACCAGTTATTTCGTCTGCGTGACTGAGAAATGTTCCAATGTGCTTTGTACGTACAAATTATTCGTGATATTTGCTCTTATAATCGAGCGCGGAGAGAAAATGCACTCGCTTTTTCCCATAGAAATGCACTACCGGAAGTCAATTTCGAACTGGTTGCTGTCTGCTTCAATTTGCAGCAGCACACTAGCGCCAGTCGAACCTCTAGCGTACATTATAATAACTCTATGGTATGACCATCTCATTGAGGTGGAAAGAGTGTTTGACCATTATTTACGTCATGGACTTTGAGCGCAGATTTTAAAATAACTCGGGCGCCGTCAATATTGCTCTAAAACTTTTTTTTTCGCGTAAAATTAAGTATTTTGACACGCGCATGCCAGATTGTTTAAAAATACAGTTTTTTTTTTCTTTTAAGGGGCCCTTTAAGGGTGAACGGAGTATAGACGACGTTCCCGACGCGGTGTCGAGGACGTTCGCTATACACCGACTTCCAACTGGACAGGCAAGTGTTGGGCTCCAAATCGCACCTCTTCGACACTGATTCACTAAAAGCCGCCATGTAAATATGAGGCAAAAAACCGCGTTGTCATGGCAATGCCATGGCGACGCGGTTTTTCGCCCCACATTTTTGTGGCGGCGTCCGTTAACTAAGCTGCCTAATTATGACGAAAATTCCCCAAGAGTGTGGTAAAAGATGGGGAACTTAGTAGAAGGACAAAGACACAAGAAATAGATCGTCCGAATAGCCGAGAAACTGAGGGGACATTCCGTGACCACGCCTTCTTCCGTTACAATTCGCCCAATGTATGAAAAATATAGACCCCACGAAGTCTCTATCGGCCTTCGTGGTGGCATAGCCTCCTGTAGACTTACAAAGCCTGGAACT